GTTTAACATTCTCTAATAAAAAGACATAACTATTCTCTTCTTATTCTTTAGTCAAATCAAGGTTCTCTATTCCTGATATAAGATAACTCTAATCTATTTTTCCTAATAAATGAAAAAGTCAATTATGCTCGTATTTATCAATGTATTTTTTATTAAAACAATCGTTTAATATTCTAATTTTATTTTCTAATTTATTAATTTCTTTATTAATTCTGACTATATTTTCTGTCAAATATAAAGGTACATGTATATTTCTATTATTTTTCAGAAAATAATCAAGCACACTATAAAATGATTTAATTTCTTATCTTTTTCGTTCGCGGTCAATTTCTAATTTTCGAATAATAGTAACTAAAATTTCGTAAATAGCAGGAGTACAAATATTAATGCAAGTAATTGACATAAATAAGAAAGATCTTACAGTATTGAAGCAGAAGGTAAATGCATAATAAAATCAATGAGATTTCCCTTGAGCTTGCACTCATATGTTAGTGTACTCAGATATAAGTGATCGGTGTTATTTGAATTTAAGAAATTGGGTTATGGTCCAACATGACTTCCACACACTTATTGGTTTTCTCTCTTACTCTTTTGCATATCTCACAATGGATCTCACGGAATCACAGTTTTCCTTTCAACTCCTTGTTAAAACATCACCTTGAATGGTAACAGGGTTCTCATGGCTTTCTCTAATAACGCTTAAAACGTCTACACACGACAATACGACAACAAGATACTTGCACTAACCATCAAGGTTTTCACCGTTAGAGTATAAGTAAGATAAGAGTTTCTGAGAAAATAATAAGGATAGAAAGACACTGTCTTGAAATAACTTGATTTCATAAAAAATATCACACTAATATCTCTTATATAAGAGTATACATACATATTTCGACTACACTCTTGTTACTTTCTCTAAGGAAATTAGAACTCCATAAAAATTACTTTATTACAGGCTTCACTCCAAAGGCAAAAACTGAAAATGTTACAAGTTTTGAAATGTTACAAAATCACGGAACTCTAAATTTCACTTTATTACTTGTTACGAACCGTACACTTACGGTAATTTTTATTCGAAATATATTTTCGTGAACAATTATTTCTTCTTCTTAATTTCCAAGATTATGTATATATAGACCTTTGGGGGATCCAATGGTCACTTATTTAACGGTCACAAACTTTGTTAAAGTGACAAGACGGTCACTTTTAAAAAGTGACGGCCGTTTTGTCACTTTAGTTCGACGTGCCATGAGTTCGATCAGCTCAAGGCTGAGTCTCAACAAGCCGCTCGACCCTTTTGCAACATCTAACCCCGTTAAAGCATGTTAACGGCTCAATTTATTATTAATTTTTATTTTATTTTTTCATATTTTTAATTAGTGAAAATTATTACTTTTTTTAGAATTGTAGAAAATATTATGTTTCTTCTAAAAATGATGATGATTCTTTTCTTTTTATATTATAAAAAGCTTGCATTTTGAAATGAACTTTAAATGAGATGGAGAACATATTATGAGTACCCGTATCAAAATGTGAAATTAAATGAACAATTGAGAAAGTAAAAGAGAATCACAAGCAAATTGTTTACATCAGTGCAATGCACTCACATACATATCTAACTAAATATAAAAAGAGTGGGTTTCAATTACTGTTCATAAGCCATGTGCCAACTAAGCTGAGCCGTATGGGAGTGAGCCGTGGTAGTCGAGCTGCAAAGCCAACCACCGCATCCAGAGAATACTGCCGTCCTTTCGTCCTTCGGAACCATCCCCGCCGTAGTAACTCCTCGATTCATGCCAATAAAAAATTTTACGTCATTTTTATAATTGGAATTTTCACAATCATTTCAGGTTCTTGAGATCTTGAGTTCTTTATTGGGGTGCTTTTGCTGTATTTAATTAGAGGTAGTTGCAATGGAATTTGGTTTAAATTATTGGGATGGTTTTACTGTATTTCAGGTTCTTGAGGTTTTGGTTCTTGAGATCTTGTGTGTAGTTCTTCTTTTCTTCTTGAATTTCCATGTGAAAAGTGCATATTCAGAATAGAAAACTTGGTGGTAGCGGCAGCGACGACATCATCATAAAAGAAGCTGAGAAGGCGGAGGAGGTGGTTAAAGACTATGATATTTTAGATATGTCATATTCTTTTTTCTTTTCTCCTGGAGTTCATAATTAGTGCTACAATTGATCTCTTGACAAATTTTTATTTTTAATTACTGGAGGTTAAAAAACAAAAAAATCGGTGTGTAATCGTCGAATATCAGCATTGATTTATTCGGCGAATAATACGGAATGCCCCCCCACCATGCCTGGTCACGACTTCTTCGCCGGCTGAGGGAAGCAATTCTGCCAAATGAGGTCCATTTTTAGAGGGATGGTGCGATCTGCAATTTTCTGTACATCTGTGTTTCGGCTGTGTGGTTGGTTGTTGGTATAGGCGGTGGTTGCAGTGCCACAATTTTGGTTTTTTGTGTTTGTGTGATTGGTTGAAGGTGGAGGTGGATTCGAGGAGGAGGTGGTGGCAAAGGCGTTTGGGTGGTGGCAGTGCTAGCGGGGTCAGATGAAGAACTGTTGTGACTAATTGTTAGGCAATAAAATGAATAAACTCTTAACAATAAATAATATATTACCTAAAAATGTTTAATTTCTCACTAAATTTATAATTGTGACTATAATTTGTGTCTCTGTGACCGTGAAATGAATTGTAATCAATTAATTTGATAATTTGTGATCAATAAAATTTGTGATTTATGATTGAGAAATAAGTTGTGGTCAATTAATATGATAATTTTTTATTGTTGAATAAATTGTGATATACAAAATCTGTGATTTGTGATTGTGACTAACACATAACTGTAACCAATAAAGTGGGTAATTTGTGATCAATAAATAATACGTGGCCTAAAAATATGTAATTGCGACTAAATATGTAATTGTGATCTATGATTTGTATATTTATGATCGATAAATAAGTTGTGATCAACCATAAATTTTCTAATAAAATAATATTACACGCAAACACAATAATTGACAATTGTTTTAACCACACATTTTTCAAAAAATTTATATTCATCTCATTATAATGATAGGGCCAAACGGGCGCTTAATTTCAACAATGCTGGTTTTTGCAATGATTGTCCATCGGAACGTTTCCAATTTGAGCTCTATAATTTTTATCTATTTCTTTAACTTGTACATTTAAAATGAGGTATGCTTTCTGTGGTAATAAGATGTCTTGAAAAGTTGTGAGGTGTTCTCAAATAATGTAGCTTGAATTGTGTTCCCCTGAAAAAAAAAATGTTAAAGATGGAATGATGAGATTTGATAAGAGATGACAGAAAAGAATATAATTTTTTTAGCATTTGCTAGAAAAGGGGGAGTATTTGAGTAGATTATTAATCTTAATTTAAATAGTTAAGTTTTGTGACTTGTGTTAATGTAGGAATATGATGAGATAAGATGTATTTGATGTTAGATTATTTGACAATCAACCATGAATGAATGAAGAGTATAAATAAGTGTTGAAAAGCACAAAAAATTTGAGCATTAAAGTGAAGTGAAATGAAAAGAGTTATAATGTAAAAGACTTTTTATTAACCACCGAAGATAAACATGTTAAAACTCATGTATCCACGTATGACATGAAACAATAATGTTTTTGGCTTAGTATTACCACCTAGAATGAAAATATATGTGGACTCAAAATTTATATAATTCAATGTAATCTTCATTCAAAGTATGTTTTATTTTCCATTGAAATCCTACGAAACCAAAATTCAACATTATTACTTACACTACATCACCCACTACACATGCGTTGCACGTGCATTCACTAGTGATTCCAAAAGGAGTTTCAAGCTAATAAAGATACAACTTCTATAATATGTGATCTTCTAAATTTCTTTTTGGTCTAAGTTAAAGTTAATTATTAATTTTAACCACATATTTCATAGACACTCAACTTTTAACTACAAATTTCATTAAGAGTATGTTTGATTGACTTTATTTTTCATGAAAAATGTTATTTTTTCACATAAATTCCTATTTTTGGGGTGTTTGATTGACAATTTTTTAATGGAAAATATTTCGAACTTTGGGTCATGTGACCATATTTTCTTCAAAAACAAGAAAAATATGTTCTTTAGGAAGTGACCATTTTTATTTTTCATGCAATTCACTATCTCTTTCTCTCTCTCTTTCTCTCTCTCATCATCATCTCTTTTTCATCTACCCATCAATATAAAATGAATAATTATAATATTTTGTACGTTGAAAACTAAATCAACGAAACACATTTAATTAATAATTTACATACAAATAAGTTCTATAAAATTGAATTGTCTAGAATTAATTTTCTTACCATGCAAATTCAATGCTTGCAATCAAATGTATCCTAACTTTTATCAAAATTTACTAAAAATATAATTGTAATTCTAACCATATAGGGGGCTAAATATCATGATAAGATTTAGGGGGTGTTTGTTTTTTATTTGAGAATTGATTCTGAAATCAATTTTCATTTTCAACCACACATTCTTCAATAAAATAATATTTTCCATCATATCAATAATTTTTTTTTCTTTTTCAACTACACATTTCTCATCATATCACTATTCAAAATCAATTCTTCCTCCAAAAATCCCTACCAAACAAGCACTTAATTGTTTTAACCACAAATTTTCATTACTTCACAATAGTTTAGTCATTTTTTATTTTTAAGAGCAAAAAAGCACACGTGATAGTTTTGCCTTTCGGTAGATAAGTAAATAAATTTTAAAACAAATAAATTTTTTACAAGTTGAAATTAAAAATTAAAAAATATTTGTTTTTAACAATAAAATGAGAGTTGCTATAAAAAAATAACTTATTTTATTTGGGAGAACAAGTAATAAATCAGCCACTTATATTTGACATAAAAAGCTCAGCAAAACATAATCTATTTCCTGTTCATCAATTTTGTCAGGTCTGGTGGCGGGGGTTGTTGAGCTCAGCTCCTTAGATATGTCGATCTCTTCAGCCACCGGAACCGCCCTTTTAGATGCCGAAAGTCCACTCTTAGAAGACATCGTCCATGGCTCCGTCGACTTCAAAGGCCGCCCTGTCAGCCGTCCCGGATCCGGTGGTTGGAAGTCCGCTTCCTTCATCATAGGTGCGTACCTACAACATTTAACGACGACCTTGCTGCTAACACGGTTATTTAAATTGTGCTTTGACGGAAAAATGGTCTGTTTATATATTTTGTTCAATTTATTAGGTGTTGAAGTGGCTGAGAGAGTTGCTTACTATGGAATAAGTTCGAATTTGATTAGCTATTTGACGGGTCCATTGGGCCAGTCCACCGCAACTGCGGCAGAGAATGTAAATGCGTGGTCTGGAACGGCGTCACTTTTGCCACTTTTGGGTGCTTTTGTGGCTGACTCGTTTCTCGGTCGCTACCGGACCATTATTATTGCCTCTGGGCTATATATCCTGGTTAGTCCAAAAGCTTATTGATCTTTTTAAACTTCTATATTTGATAACTTTTCAATTCTCGTGATAATTGGTGTTGGAATTGGTTAAGTATAAAACCATGAGAAAGTGACTTTCTTGTCAACTTCGACCAAATATTCGGACTTGATCTGATAGTCAAATTATGAAAGTAAATAGACTAACTTGTTCTACTCATCGAATAGATCGTCGTGGTTATTTGGAATCTCCAAAACAATTTTGGGTGAATGAGAAACTGACTGGAAATTTGTTTAACTTCGTCGCTCGCCTAGTGAACGAGCGAGTAGGCTGTCGCTCGAGCGATAGGTGAGCGACAAAATCTCTGTTTCTTATGACAAAATCTCTGTTTCTTATGCTCGAGCTACGAAATGGCGATATGCTAGTGACAGCAAAAGCTGCAACCTTTGACAAAGGTTGCTGAGTTAGGGGCGCGACACTTCACTTACAACCTTTCATCCTCAATAAATTTAGATTTGGGATGTCCATTTGTTCACCCCAATGATATAATCATAGAATTAATTTAATTCATCTTTTTATAGCCTAAATTCTGCATAAAAACCTATTTTTCTTTTTTCATTTGAAGGAGTATAAAAATCAATTTTCGGTTCGTTGTTCATGTGTTTTGAAGTGCTACTAACACAAGAAGTTTGTCGTTGTATCTTGAGAGTCGATGAAAATCATTTGTGGGCACGGTTGCGGGGCTGGACTTAAGGACAAAGAGTTTAACTCTTGCCTCGACTTTGTATACATTTTTTTTTTGTATTGCTTTGACATTATTTTTATTTGGTATTTTCACTTGTATCCTTACTGTTACTATGTCCAATTTTTTGTAAGGTTGGTAAGTTGATTTTTTGATTTAAGGTCATCACTCAAATCCATTACATTCTTTCAACAATTGGTCTGTTAGTTGCTGGAGTTTTCTGCATGTTAGAAGAATTCTGAATTTTTTGTGGGGTTTCTTTAAGATGGTATGGGTGTGGGGTGTTGGGGCAGGGGAGATTAAGCCCTGTTTGATTCCTTTTACTTTAATTTTTTTTTTCACTCATTTTGAACCACACAAAACATTTCCTTACTTTGAACAATTACGAAGTCGGATGCCAGCTTTTCTGCAGCATTAATGCTACTCGCGGTATACATGACTGAAAAATTTAGAGGCCCATGATTTAATTGCTTTTGGCAATATTTGAATACAGTACATAGCACTATTTAAAATGCGTTTAAGCATTCAAATACTTGTTTAGGGATGCAATAGATTTGCACAGATGATCGAGAGTGAACCCAAAGTTTCAACATTTTCGACAACTTATTAACAAGCCGAAAACTATTACTTTGCCACTCTGTTTATTACATACCCTGAATTTTTATGAAGAGCTGATGATACAATGATTCTTGAGAATGTTATTCTCCTGCGAAATTCTAAACTTGTTATGTTTGAAATATTATTGATCTCAGGGACTTGGCTTCTTGTCCCTGTCCGCTATTCTCTATTCATTCAAATCTTCCGACTGCCAGAATGCTGCAAATGACACAGCATGCTCTCCACCAGAGTTTCAAATTGTTATCTTCTTCTTGTCTTTGTATTTGGTTGCACTAGCACAAGGAGGGCATAAACCTTGTGTTCAAGCTTTTGGAGCTGACCAGTTTGATGAGCAAGACCCAAAAGAACGTAAATCCAAAAGCTCGTTCTTCAATTGGTGGTATTTTTCCATGTGTGCAGGTACTCTAGTGGGTCTCGCTTTTTTGACTTACATTCAAGACAACCTAAGTTGGGGTCTTGGCTTTGGAATCCCCTGCATTATCATGAGCCTTGCGCTAATATTATTTTTGCTTGGAACAACAACTTACCGGTTTAGCATGCAAAGTGATGAAAGAAGCCCATTTGTGAGAATTGGTCAGGTATTCCTGAATGCGGCTAGAAACTGGCAGACTACCCCGGCTGCAATATCTAAGGAAGAGGAAGTTCAGGGTATTCTGCCATATGAAGGCTCTCAACAGTTCAAGTCAGTCAACTATCCTTGTGTATGTTTTTAGATTTGGAAGAAAAAAATACCCCTCAACTTTGCTTTGCATCTCTAAGTTTCTATTTGATTAATCTCCCCAAGTGTCCTGTTCATAGCTTTTGACGGTTAATATTTCCACTACCCACTTGTTTATTTGCTATTGTTTCTTTATGAGAAATACCATTTATTAATTGATAAATTTCCACATTTTAAGTAGACATTTGACCTTCTAATCTAGAAATAACAAGAAGAACAACAAACTAAGCCTTGCTCTATTAAATTTGGGGTTGGCTACATGAATCCTTTCCCCCCTTCATATCGACCTTCTAACCTAGAACATGGAAAGAAACACATTGATATCCTTTTACTCGAAATCTTGTTTTATATGATTGATGTAATGGAATCAATTTAATATCATTTCGTTATTTGGTTGTAACAGATTTCTTAATAAAGCATTGCTTGCGTCTGATGGTTCGAAAGAAAATGGGAAAGTTTGTAGCATCATTGAGATTGAAGAGGCAAAGGCAATTATCAGGCTTGTTCCAATATGGATTACATGTTTGGGATATGCCATTGTATTTTCACAATCATCAACCTTGTTCACCAAGCAAGGAGTTACAATGGATCGTTCTATCACATCTAGTTTTCAAATACCAGCTGCATCGCTTCAATCTTTTATCAGCCTTGCAATTGTTGTCTTTATTCCTATCTATGACCGTATTTTGGTTCCTATTGCAAGGGCTATAACTAGGAAACACTCGGGCATAACAATGCTCCAACGTATTGGAACAGGTATACTCTTATCTTTTCTTTCCATGGTAATTGCAGCATTGGTTGAGAGGAAACGTTTGAAAACTGCTGCTCAATATGGATTGGTGAACATGCCGAAAGCAACAGTCCCAATGAGTGCGTGGTGGCTGCTACCACAGTACTCGCTTTTAGGAATATCGGATGTATTTACGATGGTTGGTCTTCAAGAGTTCTTCTACGACCAGGTTCCTAGCGAGCTGAAAAGTATCGGTCTTGCTCTGTACCTCAGTATATTTGGCATAGGTAGCTTCTTGAGCAGTTTTCTTATCTCTGTGGTGGAGAAAGCTACCAGTGGCCCAAGCCGGGACAGTTGGTTTTCAGACAACCTTAATCGGGCTCATATTGACTACTTCTATTGGCTACTAGCTGGAATTAGTGCTGCTGCATTAGCTGTCTACTTGTACTTTGCAAAATCTTATATATATAACAAAAGAAACAATATTTGAAGTTGCATTTTGTGGTGGAGAGAGCCACAAGTGACCCCGGTAGAGTTGGTTTTCAGATAACCTGAATTGGGCTCGTGTCAATTACTGGCTGGGTTCAGTGCTACTGCATTTATTGTCTACCTCTAATTTACAAAATCTTATATCTATAAACGAAGAAACAGTCTTGAAGTTGTAGATAAACACTTTTGAGTATGTTTCGCGTGGAAATCGAGTCTCGCTTATAATTAAAAGAAGGTTCGGACGATTGTATAAGGAACGACAACCTCTCGAGACACAGTCCCAACGAGGGATGCTTTATTTATGAAGATTACAATTTGCAAGAAGCGAAATGCCTCCAAGGGGTACAAGCGCACTGAATTCGTAAAGTAATTAAAAGTTTAACAAGAAGAAAGAAATGAAATTACATAATTCTCTATTTAAAAGTAATTTGATTTGTGCCTCTTCTATGTTCCATTTTCTCTTTTATACTCCTCTGATAGTTTTTCCTTGTAGAACCGTTTGAAAACTGCTTATCGCCCTGTAACTATCAACTTTCTCCATAATGGATAACTTGTCAAGAAACTACCGTTTTCAACTGCTGTCATTACTCCGATCATTTAACTGTTTGCAATCGAGATTCTTGGATCGTGGAATGTGATAAGATTACCCCTTAACCGTTTCAATAACTGTTGCTTTAAATAACAATCAAAACATTGTACTTGCCCAGATCTTGGGCGTCCTGCAAGTTTGAGCGATGATGGGCTCACCCAGATCTTGGGTGTCTTTCAGGCTTGAGCGATGATGGGTATCCGCTACATAACTCCGTTTTGGGTTTTTACATGGTATCGTTTGGGCCCATCCTTCGAATTTCCTAATTAGGCTTTATTTTTTGGACCATTTAATTGAGCCTCATTTTGTATGTCAACAATTACCCCCCAATATGACAAAATTAATATCAATTATTAATCTTATGTCATAGTCATCCTTTATATTTTTCCGCGATACTTGAAATCCAAAAAAGAGCAGAGAATCCCAATCATTATGTTGTTTGGCAGTGGCCTTCTACATCCCGAAAAGTGCAATATCATGCAACTCCTATAAACCAAAGAATACGCCACTTCATCGCACTATTATACCCACATTCTGCATCGCCGCGTTTCCTTTTACCTATAAAGATCATTGTTCATCTTCTTGCTTCTCTACTACAAATACTTACACTCCCAAAACCCTCGAGAAGATTGTAATTTGCAGTAGATGGCGACTTCAAAGAGCTCTTCGGACAACTCCCTTAGCTTTGTGGACTTCCAAAAGCTTCTCACCAGACCGTATATAAATCAAGCTTCCCTTTCACCAGCCAATCCTGATCTCAACGAGTTCTACCTGGGTCCATCATTTAATGACGCTGATTCTGTTGGGCAAGCAGCAGTGGGCCAATTGTTCCATTGCACTCAAGATCCTCTTTTTCTTAACCCTTTTCCACTAAAGCCAATTCATGAAAAAGGTATTCGCAAAACTGATACTACTTTCCACCTTTGGCATGCACATATGACAAATCATGGCCATATCAAGGCAATTTTTGATCGTGTTGGGAATTCTGATTTATTAGAAATCGCTCTTCGTCCCCTCAATCTATGACCCTGTGCTTTTCTCTATTGCTTTGAACTTTTGGTCTTGTGAATATAATACTTTTATCTTCTCACTTGGCCCAATGTCCATTACTCTGAGGGATGTTGGAACCTTAGTTAATCTTTCGCCCCTGGGCGACACCATTTTTCCTGCCATTTTGGTTACTGCTGCTGCCCTAAAATTTGACAAGAGATACACTGATTCTTATTCGGGCATGCAAGAACTTTATAACAATTCTAATGCTGAACCTTACCATGCTGAGGGTGTTGCCTTTCTTCATGTTTAGCTTTGTAAATACGTTCTTTGTGTACCCAGTGTTAAACCTTCTATGACTTATTTGACCATAACGCATGAATTAGCGCATGGTAGGTCTCTAAATCTTTGTTTGCTATTCTTAATAGCATTTTATCGATGCATGGCTTCCCTTCAATTTCAGTTAAGGAATGATGCATCTCCTACTGGCAAGGCCTCTTTGGCTCGCTCAATTGTGGCCGAGAGCATATTTTCCACAACTTGGTACTCCATCAACTCCTCATCGATCGGTCAGTTGTTACAGGCTAGTCATCAACCAATTGAGCCCTGTTAATATGTCTAATAGGGACGTCTTCACATTCTTTTATAACTTAAATTCAATCTCTACATTTTTTCCTTTCCATGTTCATTCAGTTCCAATTTACATGCAACCTCCTTCTACTATGGATGATGTGAGCACATTTTTGACCATTTGGGCTCAATATTTAATTGGGAAAGAGTTGTTCCATGACATCTTAACTGGAACAAATGCTAAGACAGTGGTTGAGATATATGCTCCCCAATTTGTTGTCCGTCAGCTTGGTTTTGGCCAAACGTTGCATGTTCCTCCCTGTTTTTCCAAGATCTGACAGAACGTTTTCACACTATCAATAAAGCAGAGGCACAGGACATTGATGCTTGCAATACCCTTTTGACAAATGGTTTCTCCTTAGCCCCCTTTTAATCCCACTTTTGTTATTCATCCTCTCTTTGAACAATTCTGGCCATCTATGAAGTATAAGTTGTTTGCAACTGATGCTAACCGCGCTTTTCACTTGCTGGAGAGACCAGGGGCGTCTTCCGTTTCTCCTGTTCTTGCCATCCTTATATCTGTCAAGAATCCTACTCCTTCGAAATCCCAACCTGCTCAAACTGGAACTGCTAAGGGTGTTTCCAGCTGTAAACGGCCAGCTTCAGATTCTTTAGGTTTGCCCTGATGATGATGATGATGCCCCTCTCGTCGTTAGGAGAAAGGTATTTGAGTTTGTTTATTCATGAAAAATCCTTTATATGTTAATGTTTTTACCTGAACTTTTCTGAAAAGCTCAACTTCTCATTTGAAGACTCCGCCTTTACTAGTTCTTGTTCAACCGCCTCCCACTAAAGCTTCTTCATCTAAGTTATCTGATGAGGGGACTTTACTTAAGGAGAAGCCCATATTCCAAGAATATTTGATCGCACAGCCAATTAGAGAACTTCCTTTCCAAGTCGCCGACCCCCCACGTGTTGAACCAGAAGGTAATACATACTTTATGGTCTTTTCCCTTATTTGTGTTATTGGACTTTAACTCATTATCACTTGATTCTTGCGGAGATACCCATAGATCTACCCGTTGTGGAAGAGCCTGCTCGTTCAGATAAAGGGAAGTCCCCACAAGTGGTCGGATCAACTAGTGATGTGCCCCAATTTTCCAAAGCTACTAATGAGGTAGCCTTTGTTTTATCTTCCATCTTCACTTCGTTCATTGTAATGAAAATGCTAAATGCTTGCATTTTTCTTTACAGGATGCTGACGCCATTTTATGCTCCATTCGGGATTTGTTTACTTCTTGGGAACAAATAAGGGCAAGCGTTACTTCTCGTTCCTCTTCAGCCAGTCGTCTTTCTGCTTCATCTGCTGCATTCTCAGAGAAAAATATGAACATTCTCAACCAATTAGTGCTTGAATATGTTTCCTTCATGGATATGGATATCAACAATGCTAGTGCTTCTAGCCAAAGAAATAAGTTTGAGCTTTTAAGTGCAAAACTGGCTCAAGCACTTGAGCTTCCTTTGCTTAAAGTTTCATTTGATTTTAGGCTGATGTTGAAGATTATCTACTCAGAGATAAGTTCTTTGCTAGCTAGAAATGTAGAGTTAAAAGCTAAGAAGATTCAGTATTTTCGTGCTGTAAATGAAATAGAATCTTTACTTCAAGAGATTGAGAAGACCAAGAGCAATCTACACGAAATATCCTCTGAGATTATGGTTGAAGATTCTTTGATGATGAGTCTGGTTACAGAGATGAAAGAACTTCAAGCAAGGATTGATGACTGTAAGGCTAGGTTAGCCGCCAAGAAGCATACTGTTTCCCAAGAATTTGAGCGAGACAAATCTTTGTTTGAGCGTTACTTGAAACTGGAAGTTGACAAGGAACTTATGACCGAACTATCCACCGCTTCCCTTGAACAGCACAATGAATGGGAGACACTTAGAGAACAGATGCGCTCTCTTTGGGGCAAGCTTGTAATTAAGACATTAATATTCTTACCTTTCTTGTATGACGATTTCGTCTTACACTTTTGTTCTTTTAATTTTATGATGGTAGCCAGCGTCGACTGAAATGTAATGGCAGCCAATTTCATCAATGAAATGATCATTTTATTTACTTGTGTGATGGCTTTTGCATGGATTCTGAAATATTATAATTCACGTTTTCTTTAATCATCAATACTCCCCAAAAATTTAATTATTAACCTTGTGCCATATTCATGCACATTTCCCCTTGTGGAATCTTTATACGGAATAAAACTTTTGGTATTCCAATTTCTCTCTCCAAGATTTGGACCTTCAATTTTGGTTACTATGCATGTATATGGCCATTCACATCCCGTCCCTTCGCCTTCACACCTCTATAAAGTTGCATATTTGTTTCACATTCGTCATCTTCATCCTCATTCTCCACAAAACCAATTTGTTGCCATCATTTGACATTTAAATGATCGACTTTCTATATCCAAAAGATCAATTATTTCCCTTTCAATAGAAATGAATAATTTAATCTTTTCCCAATTTCACCATCTGTCTTGATATTTTCTTTGGTATGGGAGATATAAAAAATATTATTTGGTTAATGAAGGTCTTCTCAACACCCTTTTCTTGATGTGAAACAATTGCTTGCTTGTCGGGAGTGCTTCTTTGGCCATTTGTCTACCATTGCAGCAATGCATTTAGGAGGTGACGAAGGCCAATTTACCCTCTTTCCATAGTAGTTGATAGAAGAACAATGATAGCCCGCTTCTAATTGCGACTTATAAAACATTTGTATTTTGTAACTCTTGGTTTGTAAAGAATATTTGATAATGAAATATTTTATTTGAACGTACTTCGCTCTTATTTTATTT